AATAATCTATACTGAAGCCCCTGGAATCCTATAAAATTGGGTTACTAATCCATGAACTATTGGAACTCATTTAGAAAACTTTTCTTAAACATTACATGAATATATTGTCTCATACTATAGAATTCAAATTTATAATCCCTATTCCATGATGAGATATCTTTGAGATACATTATATCTTAATTCAAGCTATTTTTAGATAGTTTTTTCCTCAAAAAGCATTTTATCAAAAAAATCCAATTTAAATTAAAAAAATCAATGATTTTTTTTTCAATTTAAAAAAAAATCATTGATTTTTATCCACCCTGAACAATACACCAAAAGAGCTAAAGTACTAATTAAATAAACCTGACTTCTATTGGGGAAAAAAGTACCAGGAAGCTGATGATAATCTTAATGGAGACATTTGCAGGGGAAGATGGTATTAGGCATGACCAGATTATTCATGCTGAGGTCATATCTAAAATCTTATTGGTAACATGGGGGAAATTAATTTTTGTGAGAGATGCGGCCTTATCTTCAACTTGTACCTTCAGTATCACCAAATCATATTCAAAGTTTAAATTAGCTTTGCACTATTTAGCAACACAAATGTTAGTCTTTGCAAAGCATATTTGCTTTTTCCTCTGTGATCTTGAATTTATATAAAAAAAACCCAGTTGTCTTTGCTCTTAGATTGCCTCTTTATTAAATCCTCTCCTTTCAGTGTGCTATGCAACCTCCTGTTGTAATTTAGAGGCTACATAATGTTTTCCAAAGGAGGCTGGATAGCCATCTGTCTTGGATGGTTTAGACATAACAAATCCTGCACCTTGGCAGGGGGTTACACTAGATGACCCTTGCAGTCCTTTCTAACCCTGGGATTCTATAATGCTTCTGTACAGTCAGATTTTTTGATAGTGCCAAAATGTTTAGACATAATACAGTCAGAGGTGCTATCCATCCAGTGTGAGGCTTCTGATGTGTATATGGCTAATTTTAAATCTACTACGTTAAGGTTGAGTTGTGGCAGGGTGTCAATTTTTTTTAAGGTGTTGATTAAATTATAAATGCACAGTGAGCAGGTCCTGCAGAACCAGTTTTGGAGTGTAATACAGACAGTAATATTCCTTCCAGCAAAAAAACCCAACTGATTGAGATTCATCTTAAACTAATTCATAAACCATGTGCAGTTTCTTCCTGGTTTGTTTTTAAAATGTTATTAACACTGTGAAGGTACATACTAGAGCTTGGATTATGTACTGTACATTTCCATCATTTAGTACCAGTAACAGGCCAAGTTCTGGTGACACAAGAACAGTACCTATGTATTGAGGTTCTTTTTGATTTCGTGTTTGGAGATACCTGGAGAGAGAGACATCAAGGGATAGCCTATGTAGTACAACCCTACTGAGGGTGGAGTAGATATAGCCTTCCCGGGGTGAGGCGGAAGTGTATATTTTAATATTTGGCACCTGGATGCTGCAATCAGTGGGAGGGGGGCTGGGTAGGCGAGCGGGCGGGCAGTGGTGGGGAGTGAGTAGGCGAGCCGAGAGGGGGTGGGGGGGCTGAGGAGGCTAGCGGGTGGGCAGTGGTGGGGGCGGGCAAGTGAGCTGGTGGCGGGGGAGGAGGGCTGAGGAGGTGGGCAGTAGTGGGAGGTAAGTAGGCGAGCTGGGGGCTGGGGAGGCGAGCGGGCAGTGGTGGGGGGTGAGGAGGGGGGCTGAGGAGGCGAGCGGTGAATTGGTGGCTGACCTGTTCTACTGATCTGGTCTGGCTCCCATCCCCTTTCCCAGGGCCGGCTCCAGGCACCAGCAAAACAAGCGGGTGCTTGGGGAAGCACATTTCTTGGGGCGGCATTCTGGTGCTGGCCATCATAGGCGCCGACTCCAGGGCATGAGGGAAAAAGTGCCCCCGCCGCGCCAGCTCGCCTCTGCCTGCTCCCCCGGGCGCGCCGCTGCCGCTTCTCCCTCCCAGGCTTGCCACGCGTGAAACCGCTATTTCGCGCAGCAAGGCTGGGAGGGAGGAGAAGCCGAGCGGCGGGTGCTCGGGGTAGGCGACGGTGGTGGAGCGGGGAGCGGTTCCTCTACCCCCTGTTACTTCCTGCGCACCCCCCCCAGCTCACCTCCGATCCACCTGCTCTGCTGAACGCTCCGCTTCTCCGCCCTCCCTCGCCTGAGAGGGCGGGGGGAGAAGCGGAGCGGCGGCACGCCCAGGGGAGCAGGCGGAGCGGAAGTGAGCTAGGGCGGGAGGTCGCGGGGAGCCCGCAGGAAGCAAGTGGGGGGGGGAATGCGGCATGCCGGGGGGAGGAGGCAGGGCTGGGGATTTGGGGAAGGGGTTTGGAAGGGGTGGAGTTGGGGCGGGGCTGGAGGCTGAGCGGCACAAAAAAAAGGGGGGGGCGGCCAAAATTTTTTTGCTTGGGGCGGCAAAAATCCTAGAGCCCGCCCTGTCCTCTCCAGGGGTTGTAGCTGTCTGGAGGTGCCTGCCTGGCACGCCTTCCTCATTCACACCTCATTCATTCAACAGGGCAATTGATTACAAAGCCGGGGGAGGGGGGAGAGATCTTATTCTACTTCTAGCAAAAAGACATTTTTCTTTTACCTTAATTATACTACCTTAGGGGCCCGCTATAACAAATTACCGAGGTTCAATGCTGCTGTTTCGGTGGGGCGGTGCTGGGGAAGGAGGGTTTGTTTCCGCGGGGCAGGTGGCGCTGGGGGCGGGTGTTGTGTTTCGGGGGGGCTGGGTGGCACTGGGGGCTTTGGCGGCGCTCAGGGGGTTTCGGCCCTCAGCTATTTTCTTTGGAGTAATATGGCCCTCGCCGCTTTACGAGTTGTGCAGGCCTGCTGTACAGACACATAGTAAGAGACAGTCCCTGCCTTAAGGAGCTTACAATCCATTCTAGACAATGGAAAGAGTGGGAGAGGAAACAGAAGCACAGAGAGTGAAGTGACTTGGCCAAGGTCACCCACTGAGTCAGTGGCAGAGCTAGAAATAGAATCCAGCTCTTCTAAGTCTCAGGTTAGTGTCCTGTCTACTGGACTACACTGCCTCAGCAGGGACTTTTGTAGAATCCAGTTTGGTGAAAACATATATTTTTCTCTTAGTCCTTGACAGGAATGGATTCTGAGATGTGCCTAGCAACACTGGGGCAAGTTATTTCATGGCCTTAAGGTGTTCCTGTGTGAGCATTTATTTTATTTCCCCCCCCTCACTTTAGACAGATGGAGGCTAATTTCTGCCTTTGTCAGATGTGTCAGATTAAAATGGACAGCAAAATCTATCCATTCTACTATGCGGACCAGTTGGTTGCTTTTTTAAAAATACTAAAAAAGAGATTAAAAAATGAACCATACTTAATTTGCTGATTTGACTAATGTAAACAATCTAGGAAATGGTTAAATATTGTTGATTTGAAGATTTATTTGATCTTAATTATGTTCCAGATAGTGTAAGACATTTAGGGAAGTTGGTAGTGTTTATTTTATTGTTCTGCTGGTAGTTATTGTAAAGAGCATCCATGTTTTTTTTTCTCTCCGTTTCTAGTGTTTGGTGATGTTTCAGTTTATTCTTGTTTCTGAAGAAAGCGATTCTCTAATGATACTGTATATTTTATATATGGTCATAGTTCTATTGGAGAGACAAGGTGAGTGAGGTAGGTGTTGTTTTTTTGGTGGTTGTGGGTTTTTTTTTTTTTGTGTCTAACTTCTCTTAGAGAGAGAGACATGCTTTTGAGCTTACATGGAGCTGCTCTTCAGGTTTTGGTACCCTCAGAAAAATTAAGAGAATATGAGGAGGGGAAGAGTCAGAGATTTCCCATTTTCTGGATTTGGGGAAGTAGGGTGTTCCCTCCTGTCTCTTCCCCCTCAAAAGTTCCGTATTACAATAACCATTTCTCTGCCCAAGAACATAAGAATGGCCCTACTGGGTCAGACCAAAGGTCCATCTAGCCCAGTATCCTGTCTTCCGACAGTGGCCAGTGCCAGGTGCCCCAGAGGGAATGAACTGAACAGGTAATCATCAAGTGATCCATCCCCTGTTGCTCATTCCCAGCTTTTGATAAACAGAGGCTAGGGACACCATCCCTGCCCATCCTGGCTATTAGCCCTTATTGCACCAATCCTCCATGAATTTATCTTATTCTTTTTTGAACCCTGTTATGGTCTTGGCCTTCACAACATCCTCTGGCAAGGAGTTCCTCAAGTTGACGGTGCGTTGTGTGAAGAAATACTTCCTTTTATTTGTTTTAAACCCGCTGCCTATTAATTTCATTTGGTGACCCCTAGTTCTTGTGTTATGAGAAGTCGTAAACAACACTTCCTTATCTACTTTCTCTACACCAATCATGATTTTATAGACCTCCATCATATCTCCCCTTAGCCGTCTCTTTTCCAAGCTGAAAAGTCCCAGTTTTATTAATCTCTCCTCATACAGAAGCTGTTCCAAACCCCTAATTTTTGTTGCCCTTTTCTGAACCTTTTCCAATTCCAATATATCTTTTTTGAGATGGGGTGACCACATCTGCACACAGTATTCAAGATGTGGGCTTGGATTTATATAGAGGCAACATGATATTTTCTGTCCTATTATCTATCCCTTTCTTAATTATTCCCAGCATTCTGTTTTGCTTTTTTGACTTCCGCTGCACATTGAGTGGATGTTTTCAGAGAACTATCTACAATGACTCCAAGATCTCTCTCTTGAGTGGTAACAGCTAACTTAGTCCCCATCATTTTATATGTATAGTTGGGATTATGCTTTCCAATGTGCATTACTTTGCATTTATCAACTTTAAATTTAATCTGCCATTTTATTGTCCAGTCCTCCAGTTTTGAGAGATCCTTTTGTAGCTCTTTGCAGTCTGCCTGGGTCTTAACTATCGCTAGTAATTTTGTATCATGTGCAAATTTTGCCATCTCACTGTTTACCCCTTTTCCCAGATCATTTATGAATATGTTGGATAGGACTGGACCCAGTACAGACCCCCGGGGACACCACTATTTACCTCTCTCCATTCTGAAAACTGACCATTTATACTACCCTTTGTTTCCTATCTTTTAACTAGTTACCAATCCATGAGAGCACCTTCCCTCTTATTCCGTGGCAGCTTACTTTGCGTAAGAGTCTTTGGTGAGGGATCTTGTCAAAGGCTTTCTGAAAATCTAAGTACATTATATCCACTGAATCCCCGTGGTCCACATGCTTGTTGACCCCCTCAAAGAATTCTAGTAGATTGGTGAGGCATGATTTCCCTGACTCTTCCTCAACAAATTATGTTCATCTATATGTCTGACAATATTGTTCTTTATTATAGTTTCAACCAGTTTGCCCGGTACTGAAGTCAAACTTACAGGCCTGTAATTGCCGGGATCACCTCTGGAGCCCTTTTAAAAAAATTGGCGTCACGTTAGCTATCGTCCAGTCATCTGGTACAGAAACTGATTTAAATGATAGGTTACAGACTACAGTTAGTAGTTCTGCAATTTCTCATTTGAGTTCTGTCAGAACTCTTGGGTGAATACCATCTGGTCCTGGTGACTTACTGCTGTTTAACTTATAAATTTGTTCCAAAACCTCCTCTAATGATACCTCAATCTGGGACAGTTCCTCAGATCTGTCACCTAAAAAGAATGGCCCAGGTTTAGGAATCTCCCTCACATCGTCAGCCGTGAAGACCAATGCAAAGAATTCATTTAGTTTCTCCACAATGGCCTTATCGTCCTTGAGTGCTCCTTTGGGATCTTTATCGTTCAGTGGTCCCAAGGAGGCTGGATGTACAGTATCCTAAAGAGCAGAGGTTCTCAAACTGGGGGTCAGAACCCCTTAGAGGGTCACGAGGTTATTACATGGGGGGTTGAGAGCTGTCGGCCTCCACACCAAACCCCGCTTTGCCTCCAGCATTTATAATGGTATTAAATGTATAAAAAAGTGGTTTTAATTTATAAGGGGAGGTCGCACTCAGGGGCTTGCTATGTGAAAGGGATCAATAAAGCCACTATTCTCCTTCCTCAGGACCAGGAAAAGGTAACTGTCTTTTACTATTTTTTTTTTTAAATAAATATAATTGCATCCTGGCCTATGCCAGTGGTTAAAACTAGGTCAGGGCTCAATGTGGCTGGAGCATGGAGGAGCTCTAAAAGGCAGTTTCATCTAGTCCTTCCTGGTTAAAAGGAAATTGGCTATAGATCTAAAGAGAGAAGGATGGGAGGATAAATCAGGAAAGAAGGGGGGAGATCCCTATGATTGCAGATGCCTCCATGTGAAAAATAACAAGAATCTACAATACAAATAGGATGTGAAAAAATAAATTCTTATTTTTTTCATTTCTGTTTTTAAACACTTATTTAAGATGTCTTGTAAACTGAATTGTTGAACTATGTATTGTCCCTGATCTTCGTAACTAGCACTCTAGTGTATTTTATTTTACTCTATAAGAGAAATCTTTGTGACAGTTATGTGCGTGCAAGCAACTGTGAGTTTTGTCGTTTTCCCAACACTTCAAAAACATCTTTGATGTTTTTATATCTTAGACTGAGACCGTATCGCTTTGGTGGGATATAGATAATCATGTGTAAGTTATAGGTTTGTAAATATGAAAATTTGGAATCTAAAAAATACTTATTTTAAGAGACAAAGTTATTAGGATTTAAATCTGTCTCTTTTTGAAAATACAAACAACAAAGATTGGAAAACATGCTTCATATAAAAACCCTGTACATCTGGCATTATTTACAAATCACAGCTATATTGTATTGGTCATCACTTACAGTCCCCATGATATATATCCTTTTGTTTTGTAGATGACTTTGATGAATTCATGTTGAGTAATAATGATGTTGTGCTCAGAAGTATTGCTGAAGATCTTCGGAATTGCTTACCCATTGAGGCAATGCTTAACTCGGAACATCTAGCAATTAAAAAAGTAAGCTTGTCATTCTGGTCTCTCTCTGCTGCACCACAGAATTCACTCGGAGATTATAATAGTAATGCTGATGGAAATATGGTCTATTGGTTAGGGCATTGGAATGGGATTTGGGAGACCTGGGTTCTGTTCCCAACTCTGCCACTGCTTTGTTGTGTGACCTTGGGAAAATCACTTCACTTCAGTGTGCCTCAGTTAAATACTTTGATTGTAAGTTATTTAGGGCAGGGCCTGTCTTTTATTACATGCATGTAGAGTGCCCAGCAAAATGCAGCTAGCCTAGTTATGGGATATAGTGCCTGGCTGGCATGATGATTCCTATTTGGGTCCTCTAGGCACTATTACAGTATGAACGTGAAATAAGAAAACTGAAAAGATCGGGCCAGTGGCGTGGTGGCATACAGTACAGGAGATTCAAGTTTGGCTTCCAGTTCCTTGTTTCCTGAGATGTTAGGGACTGAAAGAGGCAGGATGCTCAGCTCATGTGTATTTGGGAGTGGAGAAAAGTAGCATCTTTTCTACTTAGGCACTTCTGTTCATTCCAGGAACAGAGTTAATACATTCCCAGAGGAGCGGCATGTAGTTCTTAACTGGAAAAATGGATTGGCCCTGTACACCAGTGCTTTGAGGGGAGGAAAGAGGAGATAGAGGGATGTTTTGAGGAACACACCCCCTTCAGATAATAAGAAGGCAAACACAATAACATCCATCTGATTGAAAATTGTACATGCATTAATCAATGGTGTTTCTGATTCTGAAATATTAAACATGAAAAGATGTATTTCTTTAGACCGTTAAAGTTGTAAGAGAAGTAGCATTACCTTAGTGTGCTTCTGTGGTGAATAATGAGGCATTCAGCTCCCCATCCCCTAAATGTAAGTCACCTCTTCCTTTACCCAAATTGTAAAGGAAAGAGGGAATGCGTACCTTCCCTATCCTATAACCTTTACTTATCTATTGGATACCAAAAGCCCCAACTGTCCCTTGCCCAGCTGGTCAAACCTCCAGCTTTTCCTTGACAACTTCTACAAAGCAGTTGCTTGTCAGTTGAATATTGAAGGCTAAGTCTACACACAAGAATTGAATTTATTTAATCAAATAGATTTTAAATAAATCTGTGCAACCCCTATTGGGTGGGACCTTCTCTTAAATCAATTTGTGTGACTTAAAGCAATTTAGCTTAATTTGGTTAGACCAGCTCCACATTTTGGAGAAATATATATTAAATTTAGTATTAAAATACATAAATTACACAAATACTAGTAGACTGATTGGACTGAACCTTGGGGGAAGGTGGAGAGTGCGTGAGGAAGTAGTGTACATAATTCCAGGACACGTGATACGTAATTTATGTCTAACGCATTGCATAGGACACAGTCTGGACCTTTGGGTTTTGTTTAAAACAACCAAATCACTGTATAAGTGAAATAAAGAGATTTGCCTGTGATTTTCTTAGATTTCATCTTCTTTTTCAGATACTTGAGCAGCCAGAGCCGACAGTTCATGTTGATGCATTCCTTTATGATGATGATGATATTATTGATTCATTGTGTGAGAAGGGAAAAATGAGTAGAAACTACTGTGTAGTGTGTGGCTCACACAAGACCGCACCTTTAGGTAAGTACCATGTTGTGAGTGCACAAGCCAAATAGATATGCTGGCTGATTTGTGAATATACAATAGATGTAGCTATTTTATATTTGTTAAAAATAGTCATGCAGTAGCTCAGCTGAGCAACAGACCATCCAGCTGATTGAGGACTTTGGCCAAGTCTACTCTAGGAGTGCTTTACCAATATAGGTATACCGTCATGCTATACCAGCAAAGTGCACCTAGAGTGAAAGCTGTTTTTACTTGTAAAACTCAGCACTTTTGCCAGTGTAACTTTTTCCAGCACTCCCCCACCCCAAAGCAAAATAACCTAAACTGGCAAAAGCACAGCTTTGCTGGTATAACTATGGTGGCTATACTAGGGGCTTTTGCCGGTATAGCTATGTCGGTCAAGGATCATGCATCCTCACACCCCTACTGACGTAGCTATTTTATGAGAAGTCTATAGTGTAGACCTGGCCTTTGTCTTTCCAAACTGGCATAGTCATCAGGCCAAATTATTCCCCACACTCTGCATGGGGGAGAGTACAAGAAGCCTCCTGCACACAAGGGCCAAACACACTTGCACATTTGCATGAGTGACACTAACCAGCCACAAAGGGGGCAGGAAGGAGACAGGGTTATGGACCGCTGAAGAGGAAAGTGCATACAGCAGTGTCAAAAGAGATGACAGTGGCCTCCTCCACCTTCATATGTAGGAACATTAGGAGGAACAGTGCCTCTGAGAGCTGCTCTTTGGCCTGGTGCAGCTCTTTGCTACCCCAAAGCAGAGCAGGGCCTTTAAAATGCAAGACATAAATATTTTATTACAGTAACATTCAGTGTTCTAAAAGCTAGCTGTTCCAATTTAAACTATTTACAGACTTTTTTGTGAACAGATATATTGTTACATTGAGATCTAAGATGCTGTATTCAGTTGTAATACTCTGAATCATTCACCGCCATTAATGTATAGTAATATTTCCGGGTAAATAATTAATAGAGCTGGGTGGAGAAAGGTAATTCTGTTTCTCAGAGGATTTCAGTGTTTCAGAATTTGGTTTTGTTGCAATTCAGGCTGAAAACCTAAATTTTAAAAAATGTCCCCAAAAGGAAATGGAGCACTGATGCCAAAGCAGTCCGGCGGTGCACTGAGGAGCTGGGCGAGTGAGCTGGCAGGAAAGCAGGCAGGGTCCATCAGGACCCCTTTCTGGATTCCCTGAAACATTGTCAAAGTCAGACTGTCTCCATGGAACATTATGAGTTTGACAAATCAGTAAATTCCAATGAAAAAATATTTTGTTTGAGTTTTTCCAACCAGCTCTAATAATTATAGTTAACTTCTCTATAATAGAGGAATGATGCTGATTCAACTAAAGTTAATCTAGTGACAAAGGCCCGGTCTACATTAAAAAGTTAGGTAGACCCAGCTACTTCACTCAGGGGTGTGAAAAATCCACATCCCTGGGTGACGTAGTTCAGCCAACCTACCCCCGATGTACACAATGCTAGGCCGACAGAAGAAGTCTTCCATTGACCAGGCTACTACCTCTCAGAGAGGTGGATTACCTACGCCAATGGGAGAGCCTCATCCATTGGCGTAGGTGGTACCTACCCTGAAGCACTGCAGCAATGCAGCTGCAACACTGCAGCTGTGCTGCTGTAGTGTTTCAAATGTTGACAAGTTCTAAGTCATAGCACAGGACACAGCAGATTCAGATGGTTGGTGGAGCCCTGTAATAAAAAAATGTCTAGGAAATAAGAATTAAAATGTGGAAGAGGAGAGCCGTGTCAGAGTAGGGTTAAGCTCTGCTGAATATTTTGCACTGATGAATGTTGCCCATGTAACACATTTGTTCTGTTCTGCTTTTATTTCTCAGAGTTTATTTCTCATTCCTTTTCCCTCATGGAACTGAAGTTTCTTTATCAGTATGCATTGCCTGACCTGACAGGAAAGATTCTGGTTGACGTTGGCTCCAGGCTTGGTGCAGTGCTATTTGGGGTAAAATCCAGCATGGGAATTCATATTCTGTTTCTGTGCCATACTTTTCCCTTCTCCAGTTGGCAGCTTTCATTGTTCCATAATTCATCTGAGGGGACAGATCAACAAATAGCCATCTATAGCATGAAGCATCCAGCCAGTAAGAGGTGTTCTACTCTTGTACACTCAGTTCTCCTTCTGCTTCTCACAGAGACGAAAACACTGTTGATCTCACTTATTGACTTGCCTCCACAAACGATCAGAATCTGTTGTCCAACAGTGTAGCATTTTGCTGTCGCACACCCTGGCTGCTCTTTAGTTTGTTACTGCTCAGTCTTGCATTGCTAAATTAATGTTTTCTTTCCTGTTCTGGCCAAGTATTCTGCTGAGTTTTGGTAAATCCCATCGTGAAGCGGGAAACTCTTAAATTTCACTGAGATGAAATTTCCTAGCTCAGTGTTTCTTGACTGTTTTGATACCAGGGACTGGTTTGCTGCCTTCCTAAACTGTGTCAGGGAAATCTCAGGGACCAGTGCCAGTCCATGTACTAGTCGTTGAGAAACACTACCTAGCTAACACTTAAAGCATTTTGCCCTATCAAATACTTTATCGGGAAGCTCAAGTGTAATTTCAGATTGCTGTTGGCATTATTGGTACACTGCATGGCCAACAGCAGCACAAAACATATATGGGTGCAAATTATATCAGTTAATAAAAAATTCTTAACAAAGTCAGTGGCTTCAATAGGGGCCTGATCTTGGAGACACTTGAACATGTAACTTTACTCCACTGAATAATCCAGTTTGGGATTAATCATATGAATAAAGTTATTCCCACATGTGAATGTTTGCAGGATTGGGTCCTTAAATGTTAACATTTTGTTGTCAGTTATTGGGTTTATTTTGAAGTTATGGAACACTTATACTGTTATAATGAAAGAGAGCCTCAAGATAAAGCAGCAATATAATTAAAAGAGAGGTTCTCTTTTTCATCATATTCTTGGCTTGTATTTCAGAAGTGGCAATTTGCCATGTTTTATCTGCACAGGTTGCCTTTCTAGCCAGAGGGTTGAAGGGCTTCAGAAAGCTCTAATAATTAAGTTGCAGTATATTGACATCTGTAACATAGTATGTTTGTCATACTTTTTTTTTTTAAACTTTCCTGTGCTAGCTAAGTGTAATTATAGTGTTCATTGTAGATAAAATTGTAGTTAAAGTTACAACATTTTACTCATTATAGGCTGATGTTTTCTGGCATTCATACTTTCTCAAAAATTCTCCTTTTGGACAGAAACTTTCCATGATTGGTCTGAGCCCAAAGGCAAATTACTTTAGAATAATGTTTAAAAAATTTAATTCCACCATTTTTGAGGTATTGGTAAAATATAAATTATGATTTACATTTTTTACATTTAAAAAAAATACTGCATCTATAAGTAGCATTGTTCAGTCTAGGAGGAAAATCCTTTTGTGAGCTCTTCCATCCCATTATAGGTGCAAATTGGACTTTCACATACCACTGTGTGGAGTGAACTCCCGATTCATACAGGGTGTGTGTGTGTGTGTGTGTTGGATATTTCTGTTGCATTCTGTTCTCCTACAAAAGAAAACAAACCGATAAATATATAAATAAAAGAATCCCAACACAATCTTTGTGTGTTAATTCCACCCCCCCCCTTTCAGTTTATTTTTATAATTCAGTTTGTGCTAACTTTAGTTTTTCCCCCATTCCCTTAAGCAGTTTCTATGTATCTACCAGTAGAAGTGGAGCCGGAGTTGTTGCTTGCTTTCCTTTCTTATCTTGGCCTATCAGCTCACATCTGTTTTTTCATGGTAATATTCATAAACCATTTACTGTAATTGCCAAAAAGAGGGTCTTAACCCTGGAAAAATATGTAGTTCACTCTAGTGCATTTCCTACCATTCTGTTTTAAAACGAATTAAAAATTTTTTAACAACCCCTCCAATACACTTTTTTAAAACCTGCCTCTAATCATAACCTTTGTTTTTCACTTTATAATGTTTAGTTTTTCCACTTTAAGTTAGAATAAGTCATTTTATAGGCACCTCAATTATTACATTTCCTCTCCTTATTTCAGGGCTATCTTTACAGCTCAGCATCCCAACTATATGGAGTGGAAATGAATTCAGACTTTTGCCAGTTGCAAGAAATGATAATCACAAAATACCAATTTACAGACAGAGTAAAGGTGACTAAATACATTTTATAGTGTGTATATATTTTAACCAACTGTATAATAGATTAGTTAATTCTATTCCAATGAGAGAGGCTGGTAAAATCAGTATTGTTCTAAAGATAAATCTGTACTTTGTTGGTTTGATTTTAAACAAAACAAAAAAAGTTAATGTACATTAAAATTGAGAAGAGATTTAAAAAGTTATTTTTAAAATATAGTAATATTTGATTCATTCAGCCTTTTATCTGAGTATGGCTCAATCTCTCAGCTGACCCCAAACAAGTACATACTAGTCTCATTAAAATCAATAGAAGTTCTACTGCTGTTTCACTGTTTGTTGAAATAGGATTAAGCCAGTATATTAAATGTTTATATCTAGAATGATAAGAAAAACAAGAGGCATCTGGGGTTTCCATATTTTTTTAAGAATAGCAAAGATACTGTCAAGGATTTGCATTTGAGTAGACGCTAAGGTCTGCAGGCTGCCAACGTTGGATGTTGTATTTCTTTATTAGTTTCTTTGGAACTGAGAATTTCAGTTCACATTAGTGCATATGTGTGTCAGAAAAAACAAGAAATGTTCCAAACAAACTCAAACCATTAATATACAGAGATGCTGTTTTCATAATGAGAACAGTCCCTTTTTGGGAATGTCTTCGCCCATGCAAAAGGTCTTGTGGCCAAAGGCAATAAATAAAACACATTAAGTGAAATCCTGGCCCCATTGAAATGAGTGGCAAAACTCCCAGGGTATGTCTATACTGCAGCTGGGAGTGAGGTGAGTCTATCTTGGGTGGCTAGCCTGAGCCTTTGCTAGTGGTGCGGCGTCCACACTGCTATTTTTTTTTTTCACTAGCTTGAGCCCCGCTGGGATGAGTCTGTTTACTTGGGCTGTGAGGCTTGCTCCTAGCTGCAGTGTAAACAAGGCTTCTGATGTGTCTGAAATATATCAGTGAAATACGATTGTACTGTACAACAGAATGCTCCATCAGGTTAATTCACTAGAGACTGTAGATGTGTATATACATGCTCTTGAGTTGCTTTATATCTGGAAAATATACACCTGAAATGTTAGTTTTTCTTCACACCTTGTAATTCTATTGAAGTGTTATAGTTTTCAATGCATAAAGATAAAACAGATAATTTTCAAAGCAGTGCCTGGTGACTTTGCCATTCAACTCCCACTTGATGTTAATTTAGTCATGTGACTCCTGTTATCACACGCTGTTTTGAACATTATCACACACTGCTTTAAACATTTCATTCTTGGATTTCAGCTTCACCCCAAAATGAATCCTCTCTTTTATTGCATCTTTTTTTGGAGATATACAGTAGCATGAAAAAACTGCCAGAAGCCAGTTGGCTAAGTAATAAGTAGGTAAAAAGAGGTTAAAAATCTTGGAGGGAAAAAAGCCTCATAATGTCCATTGTTATCTGGGATGTTCTGATAAAAATCCAGAACGATACATTCTTTCCACTATAACCTCTACTACCTGAGAGATCAGAGTAAAACAATTTCTATATTTAATAGTGAATTTATGAGTGAATCTTGTGTTGTTCTGTTCATAAATTAAAAAAATAAGTGCATAGAAGTCACTTATGTTGTACCATGTTTGGTGTGAATGCTTAGAGTTTGATTAAAAAAACAACAACAGAAGTTGGGGCAAATTCAGAAAATCACCCTTACATGTATCTAACTTTAATACACGTAATTATTTTTATATAGTAGTTTGGTTTTCTCTTAGTACCATGAAAATCAAACTTTTCAGAACTGATTTCTTTTTCCCTTTCAATTTAGCAAAGAGTCAGTCCCCACCTTTGGTTGACGAATACTTATATATAGCACACAAAATTTTTTCCTTGGCTACATTGTGGAGGATTTTAAAGAAGTGATTTGAAATTCAGAGGACATTTTAAAAGAAGGTATTGTAGATCAGATTTGAGACTGTTGACACAATCCCTTTAAATCACCAAATTAGAAAAGAGTATAGAATAGTTCCAAGAAACAAGAATTGTAGTGTACCCAGATAACATTGTCATTCAGATTAAAGAACAGACTGAGAATAATGTCCAAATAATCTTCTTAACCAAAGAAGCAGTGAACTTAATCCCATTTATAGTCTAGGTGCACTAAGAAGTATGACTATAAACTCTTAGTGAACCCTTTGGCTCTATTCTCTTAAATGGATGAAAGTTACCAGTGCTGCTAGTTCTTCATTTTTAACTAGTCTTAGAGTTTCGTTTTCAGTAAAGTGAATACCAAAATATTTGGTTATAATGGAATCACTACAAAATATTCTGTTAGTGCAGGGGTGAGCAAACTTTTTGGCCCGAGGGCCACATCTGGGTGGGGAAATCGCATACAGGGCCATGAATGTAGGGTTGGGGTGTGGGTGGGGGTGTGGTGTGCAGGAAAGGGCTCGGCAAGGGGTTGGGGTGGAGGAGGGGTGTGAGGTGTACAAGGGGGCTCAGGGCAGGGGGTTGAGGTGCAGGAGGGATGTGGCAGGGGGTTGGAGTGCAGGGTGCAGCAGGGGCTTAGGGAAGGGGGTTCGGGTGCAGGAGGGGTGCGGCGGGGGCTCAGGGCAGGGGGTTCAGGTGCAGGAGGGGTGTGACGGGGGCTAAGGACAGGGGGTTGGGGTGCGGGAGGGGGCGGGCTTCGGCCCGGTGCAACTTACCTTGAGTGGCAGCCACGCGCAGTTGGGCTAGGCAGGCTCCCTGGCCCTGCACCGCTCCCGGAAGCGGCCGGCACCACTTCCCTGCAGCCCCTGGGGGAGGGAGGGGCAAGGGTTCTGTGCGCTGCCACCGCCTGCAGGTACCTCCCCCAAAATTCCCATTGGCTGCGGTTTCCCATTCCCAGATAATTGGAGCTGCGGGGGGGCGGTGCCTGCAGGCGAGGGCAGCACGCAGAGCCCTCTGCCCTCCACCCAGGGGCCGCAGGGACATGGTGCCGGCTGCTTCTGGGAGCGGTGCGGGGCCCGCAGCGTCATGGGGGTGGCAATCCCGCGGGCTGGATCCAAAGCCCTGACAGGCTGGATCTGGCCCGCAGGCCATAGTTTGCCCACCGCTGTGTTAGTGGCTGGCCAATGCTGCATGAGTCAAAATGATGCATTCTCCCCACTTCAGTTGCTACAGTGCTCCTTTGCATGGGGAGTGTCTCTTTCCTATAGCAATCAGAATAGTGTACATCTGCTTAAGTGATCCAAGTGCAAATATTTTCTTTGTGAGGATAAGTTTTGATAAAACAAAAGCTTTGTCCTTCAGGAAGGACCATTTGAACTGCAGCTTACCCCAGTCAGTAGCGGAAAGACAGATCACTTTCCCTCCCACTACCAGCAGGTTTTTAAGCTATTCAGAGAGTGAATAAGAAGTTATGGTTTCCTAGACAAGAAAATAGTGGCAAAAGTGTTTTCTTCTCTACACAAATACTTCATTTTCCTGTGAGAAGACCTCCCCCAAAATTAATTACCTGAACACTAGTAGAGATTAACAAAATGTGGGATAACCTGCTAGATTAGTGTGTGGTGGTATTCCACCACAATAGCTAACTTACTCTCCATTCCATTAAGTACCCAGGCTGGCCATTCTTCGAGTGTTTGCTCTTGTCCATTCCACGTTAGGTGTGTGCATGCCATGTGCACCGCTGCCAGAGGTTTTTTCCCTCAGTGGTATCCGTTGGGCTGGTGCCACGCGCTTATGCACCGGTATAAGGGGCACTGCTGGCATCGCACCCTGTCAATTCCTTCCTTCCAGCCTGTGACAGTTGATGGAATGTCGCCTCCGGCAAGGTGTTTTTCTCTTCAAATTTAGTTTATTAGTCTTAGCTGCATGTCCATGAATTCCGAGCCCATCTCCTTGGGTACTGCTTGTGAGTCTCCTAACGTGGAATGGACGTGACATGAGCAAGCACTCGAAGAAAAAACTGTTACTAACCTTTCCATAATTGTTGTTCTTCAACATGTGTTGCTTACGTCCATTCCATAATTCAACCTCCTGCCCCTCTGTCAGAGTTAGCAGCCAAGAAGGAACTGAGAGGATGCATGGATGGTGATGCTCCTTATACCAGTGCATAAGTGCACAGCATCAGAGGGCGTTAGAGCTGGTCCGATGGATACCAAAGAGGGGTAAATTTCCAGCAACAGTGCATGCGGTTTGTGCACACCTAACGCGGAATAGACATGAGCAACACATCTACAAAAAAAAAAAACCCAACAATTATGGAAAGGTTAGTAACTTTTTTTCTACATTATCAGTCCCTTAATATTGACTGTAAAAGGTGACCAGTGCCACTGCATCATCCTGTTTGTCCACCATGATAATGTCACTCCTATAAGTAACACTCTCATGGTGACAGTGATCCAGTATTCAACTTCAGATTGAGTAAGCAAAGTATCAGTTTAGCTGGATCCAGAAGTTAGATAAATTCACTAGGTTGATTTCTAATTGGTAGGGACACTTCAAATCAAATCTTGGTGCACAAATAACACATGGATTGACAAAATCCCAAAAGAGATGATACTACTACTTTTTCAATCAGGCCTTGGCTACACTTACCGGCAAGTTCGACGGCTGGAAATCGAACTTCTGGGTTCGACTTATCGCGTCCAGACTAGACGCGATAAGT